GGGGGGGGGGGAAGGAGGGAGGTGGATAGGAGTGTGGAGTGGAGGGGGGATGCCCATAGGAGTTACTATGTACCAGGCAGAAGCTTGGCTTAGGGCAAGGCTGAGACTTGAAGGTTTGTGCCCAGGGCAGCAGCAGGGTGGACAGGGCGCTGGAGGTGTGTGGACAAGGGATGGCCCAGTAAGGGAGCTTGCTGGTTGGGAGAAGCATCACCCTAGCACTCCAGGACAGCTCTTACAGGTTCTCCAGAGAATCTACTAGGTCCATTCATCCATTTCCCACTGTCCCAAGGTGGGGTGGCCCCAGAAAGCTGTCTTCCTCCTGTGATGACCTGGTATGTGCCTAGAGGGAACCTGGACATTTCTTGTGTGTGGGTGAAGTGGCCATGGTCCCCAGCACTGGGCTCAGACCCACCTGCTCTGACCACCATTTTTAATGGGCAGGCAAGTGTCCCCTACGAAGACTTGGGCACTGGGTGGGGCAGGCACTGCCTGAAGGTCCTCCGGTGTGGGGGAGGGCAGTTACCCCATAGCTCCGAGCCAGCTGGAGCCTGTGATAGGTGAGCCAGGTGTGCAGGGAGTTGAGCCCTTATGACCACCCTGGGCTTTCAGAGGGTGAAGACAACACATCTGGCTCAGGGGTAGGCGTGACAGTCCCCACCAGGGCACAGGGTTGGGGACACCCTCCAGTCTTGCCCTGTTTGGGCTTTCGGCTCCAGCCAAGTAGGGGCCGTGGGCTGGCACGTGCAGATGATGGCGTCTTGCAGCCATATTCTCTCTGGCTCCTCAGAAGCCCCTTGGGGCCCAGAGGGGATGGCCGTCGGTCTCCCTGCAACCAGGACAGATACAGACTATAGTCAGCCACTGCTGGCCTGCCCCTGTCTGTGACCAGTCTGGAAGCAGGCAGTTGATATGTCAGGGACCTGTGTGGGGGCTCCTTTCAGGGAATCCACACAGCAGGGGTGCAATGTGTTTCACCCAACCCTGCATGGGCCATGCTGGGTAGATGAAACCTCTGGGATGGAGGCCTCAAGTCTCAGGACACAGAGGCTCACTGATGGGCGGGCTGGGGCTTCCTCGGGGACAGGGCGGCAGCCTCCATGGGGAGGCAGTAGCACAGGCGATCCCTGCCCAGAAGGACACCCTAGGGAGGGCCAATTACACACCAGTCTCCTTTACCAATGCCTCATGAATATCTGGGGAAGGCCCAGGGCTGGGGTGGGACAAGGAGTCTGGGGACTTCCCTCCCAAGGCCCCAGGCTCACCAAGCCAGGCAGCAGTGACACCACCTGCAGGTTCACGCCTGTGTCTCCTGCAGCCTTCAGCTCTGCAACCACCTCTGCATGCCTCCACCACTTGCATGGCTGTCCATTCACTGACACAATGTAGTCACCCTCTTTCAGGCCAGCCGCCTGTGAGGAGATGTGGACAGTGAGGCAGGCACAACACACCTCACTGGCAGTCCAGGGACTTGGCCTTAGGGGGCTGGTAGGGACCTTACCGCAGCCCGGCCCCCTGGAATGACAGCAGCGATGAGGACAGGTGAGTCTCCCCGCAGTGTGAAGCCGAAGCCACCCTCTCCTCGGGTCAGATGGACGGGCCCCACCAGCCGCCACCGGTTCTTGGCTGAGAACACGGACAAGGGCCCCTGGGGGGGTCAGAGGTCAGACGCCTGGCTGGGCCACAGTCCAAGGAGTCCCTGCCTGACCAGTGCCCCAAGCCCAACTTGCCTACCCTGGGACAGACACTGGTAAGGTATCATGGGGGTCTGGCAGGGCTGAACCACAACTGAGGGCCTGTTCAAGGGCCTAGCTTTGGTCAAAACCACAAGGTCCAAGCCTGCCCACGCTGGGAGGGAAGGCCTGGGCACAAGTATGCTCACCAACCGGTGGAAGATGTCAGCCACCTTCACCCGGGACAGGCTAGGCATCCTGGCCTCTGGTTTCTGCTGGGTCTTAGCTGAGAGGGCAGAAGGAGGAGGAGCAGAGCTAAGCTTGAGCCACTGGGTCACCCCCAGTCCCTGGGATCTGCCAGGGAAACTTGACTCAGCTAGAGTGCAGTGGGTGACCCCAAGGTGCAGCCTGTCTGTGCACACTGGCCCTGCCTCAGACCTTCAGGCCTGGCTGCCCCAAGCTCCCTGAATATATGCCCCCCACTCACCCCAGGTGGCTCCTAGAAGCCCTCCCTGAAGTCCCAGTTGTGCCTGTCCCAGGTCTGTGGGCTTCTCCCCAGAGTAGGAGTCAGGTGCCGGGAGTATAGTCCTGCCACAGGTGTCCTGTAGGGCCTGATAGCTCAGTGGGACCTTGAGAGCCCGGTCTCAAAAGCACAACTGCTATTTTTATTAATCATGGTGATTGCCTCTTTAAAGCAGCTGCAGGGTCTCAGCCTTTCTCCCTCCCTCTCTCTAGGTCGGAGACTCCACCTGGGCTGTGGACACACCCATCCCAGTGACAGGCCCAGGCAGCTCACGCTGGATGTCAGGAGCCTCAGCAGCCTCGAAGAAGTCGTCCTCACGGTCGAGCTCTGAGTACTTGGCCAGTGAGCGCCTCAGCGCCTGGTCCACCACGGCCTGCAGCAGATCCACCTTGCGCAGGACACGGCACACCGCATGTAGCCGCAGCGCCTCTTCCTGCCCTAAGATGGCACGCTTTAGGTGGGCCTTGCCTGCACACAGGGACACAGCACCATCACACGCCATGTGGGCCCAGCTGTCCTTCCAGGATGACCCCAGCTCCTCTCATCCCAGGGCACAGTAGGAGGAATGGGCAAGGTCAAGGTTGCTGGGGTCATCATAGCCACGGCCATTAGGGGAGTTTGGCCCTAGAGGGAGATGAGGAGCTGGCTGGTCCAAGAGGTCTCTGCCAATTGCAAATGGCAGGGCCAGGTACGAGCTGCTTCCCAGGTGTGCCCCACCAACCCAGAGGTTGCCCAGCACTCCTGGGGACCCTGTTCTCAGCCACCCCATCCCCAAGGCAAGGGACATCCAGGGACAAGTTGGCGGCCCCACCCACCAGCACAGGGATGTTAGGTGCTGAATGACATGTGTGACAGTGGGGGACACTGGTCCACTGACTATTTCCCAGTGCCCTCTGTTCTCAGACACCTTACCAAGCTTCCTACGCTCCTCCGGCTCCTGTGGCAGTGCGGGGCCTTGGGACTTGGGGGAGGTCTGGGGTTGGAGGAAGACCTGCTCGTGTGTGGGAAGCTCTCCCTCAGCCGCCACTGGGGATCAGAAAGGCTGTGAGCCAGGAGCTGCTGGGGCCTCTGCCAGCACCCAAAGGCAAGCGGGTGAGGCACTCACAGGAGCTGTCGCAGAGGGCCACAGCCGCATGGTAGTGGGCCAGGGAGCGGAAGTACTCAGCCTTGACATGCACCAGGGCAGTCCAGGACACGGGTACGTAGTCACAGACAGGCGGCTGGGCCATGGTCTGGTGCACAAGTCTGTACTCAGCTGCCACCTGCCAGTGGACAGTGGGCACACAGGGACCTCACTCTCCCAGAGGTGCCTGTGGGACTCAAGAGACAAAACCAGCCAGCCCTACCCAGCTGGCCTGTCCCCTGTCCTCTCCTTACCCTGGGCCCAGCCTCCACCTAACCGGGCCAACATCCCAGCAGCCTCCCACAACCCAAACTGAACCAAACGCAGGAAGCTCAGGTCCCCAATTCCTACTGATTCATGCTGTGCCCTGGAGGCAGGGTCTCAAGACCCCAGATTCCCGACTAGCCCATGGACCAGGACAAGGGTTGGCTCTGAGAACTGACAAACAAGAAAGGAGGCAACGGTATCTCACCTTTACTCTCCCTGCCTAGACCCGGGCTTTGACTCCAGCTCTGCCCCTGTTTTGATGCTCCCACCCTGTGCTCTGATGCAGACCCCTGCCCACTGCCAGGTTGTGGAAGGTCCCAGGCAGGGCTCCTTGAGCTCACCTGGGCAGCCTCCTGAGCCAGGCGCAGCTGGGCCAGGCAGTCATGGGGGGCCACAAGAGCAGGCAGTGAGAGCCCCTCAAAGACGCACTCTTGGGCCTGGGCCGTCATGAGTTGTTCCAGTGCAGAAAGTGACGCAGTACTCATGTCCGGGCTCGGAGCATGAGAGAAGTTCTCCCTCAGAAGGCTGAAAGCCCCTGTGGCGAGAGAGGCGCTGACACAGGCAGGGCCTCCTGCCACCCCAGCCAGCTCTGCCCCATGCAGCAACGAGGGTCGTGTCTGGCCAGAGCTGCCGCCAGGACCCTTTCAAAGGGTGTACCTGAAGGTTTAGCCCCTTACACTGGGGGGACATGTGCTAACCAGCCCCCAGTCCCTGACCCAGAGAAGAGGCTCTGCAACATCTGCACCCTGTCTGCTGCGTGAAGAGGTCTGGGCTGCCCTCACCAGCAGCCCTCTGGAAGGCCTCAACGGCACAGCTGGCACCCTCGGTGCAGGAGCGGTCCTGGCATGCCCCGATCTGTGTGTGGAGGGCACCGATGTTGAAAAGCACACTGCCCTTCTCGAAGGCCAGGGCACGCTGCTGGGCTGGGACCCCCGTGAGCGAGTCGTACCTGTGGGGTTGGGTCAGGCTGGGTGGAGCTCCTGCAGCCAAGCCTCCCCTCCCCAGTACACCCCCATCTGCCAACCCCCCTACCAGTGGAAGAAGAGCCCGAGGCTCCTGGCAGGAGCAAGAAAGCGTGCATCCAGGAAGCAGAGCTGATTGTAGTAGGTCATGAGCAGCTCCAGGCCTGCCTTGTTCCGGCTGGGGGTCCGCATGGCCTGTAGGGCAGGAGCCGCTGGGCCCCACCGCCCCAGCCCACCCCACTCCTGCACACTGCCCTGGGGAGCCCCTTGGGCATTGGCCTGTGGGAGACTGTGGGCCAAGGTGAGGAGCAACACTGAGGGTAAGGCCAGGCAGGGTCCTGGGAGGCGTTGTTCCCAAAGGCCAGCAGTGGGTAGACACAGAGCCACATGCACGCTGGGTGTGTTTGCACATACAGGGACCCCTGGGTACACCTATCTCCTCAAAGTCCTCCAGAGACTCGCTTCCCCAAGACATGTGAATGACTACACTGGGTTCAATCTTTCCATTCCTGATTTAAGTCTTGGTTTTCTCACGTGTCTCCTGGGGCTGCAGGAGGAGGGATGGGGGGAGCACACACACCTGCCGCAGGGCCTCCAGCTCCCTGATTTCTGCCTCATAGGAGGCGCCATCCTCTCCAAAGTGCACTGAGATCAGCTCCTGATGGAGGGAGCAGGTGTTGGCCTCTGCAGCAATCCTGTGCCCAGCTGCCTTCCCTGGGGTCTTCCAGCCCACTTTGAGGGAAGACCCATAGCAGAGGGAGGACCCACATTGCAGAGCAGGCTGGCTGCCACGTAGGGCTAGAGCCTGGGGGTTCCTCATCAGAAGCCCCAGAAAAGGGCTGCAGCCCAGGATATGGAGGGGCCTGGTGAGCATCAGGGCCAGGTGTTGACATGGGTCCTGCCCCTCTGGCCCTGGGGTTTCCCTTCTACCCCTACCCCCACTCCCACGATAGAAGTAGGGCTGGGAACCTCACTGGTGGCATTTTTATGCACATTCCCTTATTAATCCCTTCAGTAGCCCCAGGAAGGAGGTGCCATCTGCCACTTGGCAGACTTGTACACTGAGGCACAGTCAGTCGCTTTCCCATGGACCCTGCCAAGTAGTGCATGGTTCTGATCTGGGGTCTGAGTCCTCTCCAAGAGACTTGTGAGCCAGTGGTGGGCTCTGAATGGGTAAGCGGTGTCCATAAGACAGTAGAATCCTCAGTGAGAGAGCCCGGGACTCTGTGACTCCCTTAGGGCTTCTGGCAGGATGACCAGGCTCTGTTAAACCCATTTTAGGGCAGGGCATATATTCAAATCCACCCAGTCAGATCACCCTCCAGACTGGGGCATGGCCCTGCATTTAGCAGGAGGAGGGTTGACCAAAGACAGAACACTAGGTCCCTGGCCCTTCTAATAGGTCCTTGGGTATCACCAGGTCAGCCCTTCTTCTCTCTGGGCCTCAGGTTTCCTCATCTGTTCAAAGAGATAGCTGGACCAGGACGCCTCCCAGATCCCCTTGGGTCCCAGAACAGGGCTGTGTCCTTCAAAACTCACAGGCCAGTACTCACCTTCAGGGGTGTGGACCAGTCCAGATCCTTGGTCTCCTTCAGGCCCAGAGGGATCATTGGGACAGTGACACCTTCACTACAACCAGAAGCATTGACTCCAGACTGTAAGGTTGGACCCTGTTGCCCACAGCAGCTTAGAGTCCACCCTCAAGTTCCTGAAACACAGGATGCATCACCCTCCCTCATGGATGCCCACATGTGCATGTGTCCTGGATGGCATCCCTGCACATGTGCACAAGCATATGTGCCATCTTGGCTCCTGTCCTTGCATACACGTGTACCTTCTGTGCTGGCATGTGTCCACACTACTGCTGAGCTCCTCTAACTCCTCCTTCAGCAGCTGCAGGTTGGAGTTGACGTAGCTCAGTTCCAGGGCAACTGTCTCTTTGACCTGGTTGTTGCTAGTGGCTCTGGGGGAGGCCAAGAGAGGTCGGAAGCCAGCGCTGCGGCAGAACCGATGGTCCTGTGCCTACCACAGCCCTTTTGCCCACTGACCTGCCAGAGGTCTAAGCCCACTCCCCCAAGGGATGTCACTGATGGAACCAGCCAGTTGCCCATGGGTGGGGCGGGAGCACCAGCAGGAACTGAGGGGCCACAAGGTGACCTCTCCTTACAGTTCATCATCCTCAACTGCCTTAGCATAAGCATATCCTGACTCAAGCCTGGGGCACCTCCCTCAGAAGCAGAGCTTCCCTTGGGATTCATATCACCCTTCAAAGCATTCAAACATAACTTTCCCTGGATAGCAAGAGAGCCTGACCCCTTTCTCTGCCTGCATCGGGGGCCTGGCAGAGGGATCTGGGAGCCCCCAAGAAAGTTCAGGCTGGGGGTGGAGAGGCAGAGAGTGCTAAGAAGATAAGTCTTCCCACCCTATTCTGGAGCTCAAAGTTGTAGCTGGCACAGGTGGGAGCATCTCCCTGGACTTAGGCCTTCACACACTGGTGCTCACAGTTTATATGCTCTAAGGAAGAGGCTGCCCCTGGATCTGGAAGACTCTTTTCCAGGTCTCCAACCTTGAGACATCCAGTCACCTGACACAGCTTAGCTTTAACTATGCCTCTTCCAAGAAGCTCCCACTGGACACCACATGCACTGTCAGAGGCTCTCAGGCCCTGCACACCCCGGGGGCCATCAGTTCCCTGGCACCTCTGGCTCAGCACAGAGAGGCCCACAGAGGTGGGTCTATGAATATTATGGCTGAGCAGTAAAGCATACTGTGTGGCCACCAAGACCCACCTACTCATACATCTGTTTCCCCAGCTGGGCCACAGAGCAGACACCTGCCTGGGTCACTGCCCTGCCCCATCACCATCCTCTGGGGGTGGACCCTGCTCCCTGAGGCCAGCCGGCCACAAGTGCTCACCTGTAGAGGTTCTCAGCACCTGTTCGCATCTGTAGCTCCTTGTCAATCTGCTGGTGGATCCGGGCCCTGCGGCTCTGTAGCCGGCCACGCTGTGTCTGTGTAAGGGAGTCACAGCCCTGCAGGGAAGGCAAAGGTGATCATGATCTGACCCCTGGAGCCTCCATAAGCTGTGCCTCTGTTATCCAGCTCAGAGCTCAGCATGGAAAGGAGTGGTCACCATGGGCTCACAGGGAGGGTTTGAGCAGGTCTGACCATGAACATAGGGGCCCGGCCAGAGCAGCTGATGCCAGGAAGGGGGGCAGTCAGGTTAGGATTTGGTGGGTGGGGGATGCTGCTGGGATAGGGACTGATTTGTGATGGGGCTGGCACTTGCCAAGTTCACCAGGTGCTCAGGGTCTCACCTGGTGGCCTGGACATGTACAGGATCTGGGAGCCTCAGCAGGAGGAGACCACTACTCCATACCTTCTTCTGCACTTCCAAATTTCATTTCATAGCTCCCCACAATCCCCATTTCATCATCAGGTTTAGGCGTGGGAGGGGGTGACCTAGCCCAGCTCCTGCTGAGGTGCCAAAGGACAGGGGTCATGGGGACTGGTTTTCAGGGCAGCCATCCTGGTTCCTCATAACGTTCTCTCCACACCTGACAGCTTCAGGTACAGGGTGCTGTTGTTTGGTTTTGGAAATGGTTCTCAAAGTGAATACATACCTGTGCACTCCCCATTCACACAAAGAAGTGGCCTTGACCCTGAGCTTTACACCCACAGACTCAGACGACCCTTATGGTCAGGCCCAGCACCACCACAGTGAAAAATGATACCTCCACCACCCCACTCCTGGGAAAACCCAGGAAAATATATGTAAGCTCTTTATGGAGAATATGGAAAGGCCCGAGATGTGAATGTGTGGAGAGAGGAACCATGTTCATGGATGAAAAGACCCAGCATCATGCAGACATTGGTCCGCCCATGAATCTGTAACTTCATGCAGTGGTGGCTTTTCATGGTTGTAAGATTCAACTTTGGATACAAAAATATCCTGGGAAAGAAGAGGCCCTATCTCTTCCTTCTATCCTAAAAGGAAATGTTCCCAGGAGCCCACAGGAGACCTTGTCTGGCTGATTGGCAGAATTAGGTCACATGTCAGTAGGGGCCAGGATGGCCACGCCTAACTCAGAGTTGAAAGGATCCACCCTGATCTGGAAGTGGGGTGGTGGAGGTATCATTGTCCCTGAACAGTGGACCCTGAACAGAATTGGGGGTTATCATTATCATAGCATGGAAGGGGTGGGTGTTGGAGAGGTGAACCTTGCTGGGGATACAGCCACATGGTCTACAAAGAACCTTGTTGAGGATGTTCCTGGCAGCATCCTGGTGTGTGAAGAGGCAGAAACTCCTAGATAACCACAGAGGAGAGCTGTAGAGTGAGCCCTGGTTAGAGGGAAGGATATGTGAGAATCACATGGACAAGACCCCAGCATAACATGAGGGTGAGGGGCAGGCTGAGGCATGAAACCAGATGGCCATGAAGTAAAACTTAAGACCCTACTGTTTTGTATACTATTTAAGAAGACACAGGAGCCATGGAAGTCTAGAACTGGGACCTCTTGGGCACACCCCACATTTTCACTGGCCTCTCTGCATTTTCATTACTCTTTATTCCTATTGTACAGGAATGATGTGAACTTGTATACAGCAGGTCTGCTGTCCCACTCCCACAGAGCTCACAGCATGGGGATGACTATTATGGGTTTAATTGTGTTCCCCCAAAAGATATGTTCAGATCATAACCCCAGTACCTATGAATGATTTTATTTGGAATTAGGGTCTTTGCAAAATAGATCTTTACCCTAACCACATTGACAAGTGTCCTTAAAGAAGAGGGACATTAGGCTATGCACGGTGGTTCATACCTATAATCCCAGCACTTTGGGAGGCTGAGGTGAGAGGATTGCCTGAACCTACAGGTTTGAGACCAGCCTGGGCAACTTGGTGAGATCTCATCTCTACAACAAATAAAAAAGTTAGCTGGGCATGGTGCATGCCTGTAGTCCCAGCTACTTGGAAGGCTGAGGTGGAAGGATCACCTGAGCCCAGCAGTTCCAGGCTGCAGTGGCCATGAGCATACTACTGCACTCCAGCCTAGGTTACAGGTGAGATTCCAACTCAGAAAAAAAAAGAAGGGAGACATTTGGACACAGCCACACAGAGGAGACCATGTGAACATGGAGGCAGAAACTGAGTGATACCGTCAAAAGCCAAGGAAGCCCTGACCCATCAGAAGTTGGAAGAGGCAGGAAGGAGTCTCCCCTAGAGCTTTCAGAGGGGCTGTGGTCCTGCCCTGATGGACTTCACAGGGGAGTGTGGCCCTGCCTTGATGGCTTCCAGAACTGTTAGAAACAAGTGTGTGTGATTTGCTGTAGCAGCACAAGGACACTCACACCATCCCCCTGGATACTCCCACTGGCAGCCTCCTGCAAAGTGCTGGGCTAGGGACGCCTGAGGGGACTGAGGGGGACACAGGTGCTGAAAGGACAAAGCGCAGAGGCAGAAGACAGGGCTGGGAAGAGGGTAGGCCCTGCCCCAGCAAATGCCACGATGCCAGGTTTGTATCTGCAAGGCCTCACCCTGCTCTAGTTTTCCATCCCTGCCTCCTCCAGGATTGCTGCAGGGGCTTCCTGTGGCTGAGCCAGCTCAGGCTGGAGAAGTGGTGGAGAACCCACAAATGGGAGTGAGGTGGAGGCACCTCTCACCTGAGGACCTCCCCCTACCTGAGGCCCACCTACCCTACCTCCCACCCTGACCTTCCACACTGGTGCTACTGTCTCAATGACCTCTGTCCACACCTGGGAGACCTCCATGGAATGCCCAGGCCAGGCATGCTTCCCAGTGTCTTGGGTGGCCCTGCAGCAGCCCCACTCCAAAGTGAGGAATCTGAGGCTCAACAGGGGTCCCAGCCTTGGCCAAAGCCACCAGAGAGTTGGGGTCTAGCCTATGGGAGCTCAGAGCCCAGGCTTGGTCCCACTGAGCCCCACTCACCTGGCCTAGGAATCCCAACTTTGGGTTCTGGCCTTGTCCTGCAGATCCTGCCTGGGCCTTGGAGATGCAACTTCCCTTGTTGGGACCCTGCCAGGCAGAAGTGGTGGCCTTGGGTGGGGCTGAGGTGAGATGGGGGTGGGCATTCTGCTCTTCCCTGTGTACCCAGAGCCATCTCAACCTGTTTCTCCCACAAGGAGAGGCAAGTTATAGGGTCTAGGGATGGAGTGAGGGCACTCCATTGGTCTCTACTGTGAGCCAGGCATAGGCTGCAGGGCCACAAGAAAGGAGACCCTATCCATAAGAAAGGAAGTACAGATGACACACACCAAAGCTGGAGGTAACCCCCCAGACCTCAGCACTGGAGGATGAGGAGGGGGGCAGGGCTGGGGATTGGGCCCCGCTTCCCTGCCCCCACTGTGGCCTGCTGACAAAAGCTCGCCTTTCACTGTCCTCAGCCCTCTACCAGAGCCTGGGCCTCCCTCCTGATGGCCAGCCTCATTCTCTCATTGACCCAGCTCTTCCTTCAGAACACCCTCTCAGAACCTCCTTCACATTTCTCTTCAAAGGCACAGACCCCCAAAGACTCAGTTCCCTAGCCTCGCTCCTCCTCCACCCCACCCAAGTCAGTCAAAAGAACCACCCAATCAGCCTCCCTGAAGCTGTAGAATTGCCCACACTCTCCACTCTCCTTGGTATGGCATCAGCACCCTCACAACCCTTCTTCCTCCCACAAGCTCACCCTCTTCCATATGGCCTACCCTTCAAAGTAGGATATGAGTCTCTGCCAGGAAGCCTCCCTTCTCTCTGGGGTCTCTCCAGTTCATCCGTGCTGGGCACAAAACCCACTTTGGGTGCTGGACTGCCTTTCCAACGAGCCTACTCCCAAGGCCCAGGGCAAGCTCCTCCAACAGGAGGCCCCAGATCCCTCTGCTGTCTGCTGCAGTTCAGGGACCTGGCCAGGCCTGGCTCCAGGGCTCTGCCCACAAAGGCCTGCAACACCTGGTGGTTATACAGTGGGGGCCTGCACTGCTGGGGCAATGTGTGCACAGCACTGTCGGGTGGATGGCGGGATGCTGAGTCCAGTGTCCCTCTGCCAGCCCTGGTGGTAGTCAGGTACCTTATGGGCAATATGAGGGTAGTAGTTATTACCGACATTCTCTGTTTGCAGCCGTGGGCCCAGAACTGGGGGCTTCCTAGTGGCATTACCGAGGAGCAGGGATTCAGGGGCAAGGCTGCTGGCCAGGGCCTGGCCAGTGTCTGAGTGGCCTGTGCTGCTCCTTGTACATACTGTGTTTTCCCGTGGGTGCCAACATCAGCACTGCATGTATAAAACCCTTCTCAGCAAGAGGATTGCCTGAGCTCAGGGGTTCTAGACCAGCCTGGGCAATTTGGTGACATACCTGACAGTGGACAGCTGGGCTCCAGATTCCCTTTGGGCAAGCACTCAGACCACAGACCCAGGGGTGCCTGCACAGCTTGGCTCAGCTCATAAGCAGCAGGCCAGGCCTCCCAAATCTGAGCTGAAGTCTCCTTACTGAACATGGGTCTA